ATCCATTTACATTTGCATTGTTCCAGCCCATAGACTTTACCTTACACATTAGCCGTGTGTGGGGAACTGTGTCCAACTATACCACGTCCACCGCTACCCCTCTGTCCAAGTATACCACGTCCACCTCCACCCCTCTGTCCAAGTATACCACGTCCACCATCACCCCTCTGTCCAAGTATACCACGTCTACCTGCCACCCCTCTGTCCAAGTATACCACATCCACCGCCACCCCTCTGTCCAAGTATACCACGTCCACCGCCACCCCTCTGTCCAAGTATACCACGTCCACCGCCACCCCTCTGTCCAAGTATACCACGGCCACCGCCACCCCTCTGTCCAAGTATACCATGTCCACCGCCACCCCTCTGTCCAAGTATACCACGTCCACCGCCACCCCTCTGTCCAAGTATACCACGTCCACCACCACCCCTCTGTCCAAGTATACCACGTCCACAGCCACCCCTCTGTCCAAGTATACACGTCCACCACCACCACCTCTGTCCAAGGATACCACGCCCATCGCCACCACTCTGTCCAAGTATACCACGCCCACCGCTACCCCTCTGTCTTAGTATACCACGTTGACCACCACCCCTCTGTCCAAGTATACCACGTCCACAGCCACCCCTCTGTCCAAGGATTTGCTCACCTCCAATCTAACCTCTTTCATGATGGTTTAATCCCAGCTCACCTCTACATGTTGTCTACAGTAAACATTTAAGCTTCCACTGATTACAGAATACTAATACTGTGAGTCCTGACCCTTATACTATATAACTTGTACATTCCATACTCCCACCCCTGCACTATATACTCTATGTTGTACATTACATACTCCTGACCCCTGCACTATATACTCTATGTTGTACATTACATACTCCCTGACTCCTGCACTATATACTCCATGTTGTACATTACATACTCCTGACCCCTGCACTATATACTCTGTGTTGTACATTATATACTCCTGACCCCTGCACTATATACTCTATGTTGTACATTACATACTCCTGACCCCTGCACTATATACTCTATGTTGTACATTACATACTCCTGACCCCTGCACTATATATACTCTATGTTGTACATTACATACTCCTGACCCCTGCACTATATACTCTATGTTGTACATTACATACTCCTGACCCCTGCACTATATACTCTATGTTGTACATTACATACTCCTGACCCCTGCACTATATACTCTATGTTGTACATTACATACTCCTGACCCCTGCACTATATACTCTATGTTGTAGATTCCGTAGTGCTGACTTCTGCTCTCCCCCCTCCCCCACTGATATATACAGTCAGGTCCATAAATTTTGGGACATAAACACAATTCTAACATTTTTGGCTCTATACACCACCACAATGGATTTGAAATGAAACGAACAAGATGTGCTTTAACTGCAGACTGTCAGCTTTAATTTGAGGGTATTTACATCAAAATCAGGTGAACGGTGTAGGAATTACAACAGTTTGCATATGTGCCTTCCACTTGTTAAGGGACTTAAAGTAATGGGACAGAATAATAATCATAAATCAAACTTTCACTTTTTAATACTTGGTTGCAAATCCTTTGCAGTCAATTACAGCCTGAAGTGTGGAACGCATAGACATCAGCAGACGCTGGGTTTCATCCCTGGTGATGCTCTGCCAGGCCTTTACTGCAACTGTCTTCAGTTCCTGCTTGTTCTTGGGGCATTTTCCCTTCAGTTTTGTCTTCAGCAAGTGAAATGCTCAATCGGATTCAGGTCAGGTGATGGACTCGGCCATTGCAGAACAGAACACACCACTTCTTTGGTGTCTTTTGCAGTCTGCTTTGGGTCATTGTCCATCTGCACTGTGAAGCGTCCAATGAGTTGTGAAGCATTTGGCTGAATATGAGCCGATAATATTCACTTCACAATTCATCCGGCTGCTTCTGTCAGCAGTCACATCATCAATAAATACAAGAGAAGCAGTTCCATTGGCAGCCATACATGCCCACGCCATGACACTACCACCACCATGATCACTGATGAGGTGGTATGCTGAGGACCATGAGCAGTTCCTTCTCCATACTCTTCTCTTCCCATCACTCTGGTACAAGTTGATGTTGGTCTCCTCTGTCCATAGGATGTTGTTCCAGAACTGTGAAGGCTTTTTTACATGTCGTTTGGCAAACTCTAATCTGGCCTTCCTGTTTTTGAGGCTCACCAATGGTTTCCATCTTGTGGTGAACCCTCTGTATTCACTCTGGTGAAGTCTTCTCTTGATTGGTGACTTTGACACACATACACCTACCTACCTCTGAGAGTGTTCTTGATCTGGCCGACTGTTGTGAAGGGTGTTTTCTTCACCAAGGAAAGAATTCTTCGCTCATCCACCACAGTTGTTTTCCGTGGTCTTCCGGGTCATTTGGTGTTGCTGAGCTCACCGGTGCGTTCCTTCTTTTTAAGAATGTTCCAAGCAGTTGTTTTGGCCACGCCTAATGTTTTTGCTATCTCTATGATGGGTTTGTTTGTTTTTTCAGCCTAATGATGGCTTCACTGATAGTGACAGCTCTTTGGATCTCATCTTGAGAGTTGACAGCAACAGATTCCAAATGCAAATAGCACACTTGAAATGAACTCTGGACCTTTTATCTGCTCATTGTAATTGGGATAATGAGGGAATAACACACACCTGGCCATGGAACAGCTGAGAAGGCAATTGTCCCATTACTTTTGGTCCCTTAACAAGTGGGAGGCACATATGCAAACTGTTGTAATTCCTACACCGTTCACCTGATTTGGATGTAAATACCCTCAAATTAAAGATGACAGTCTGCAGTTAAAGCACATCTTGTTCGTTTCATTTCAAATCCATTGTGGTGTATAGAGCCAAAAATGTTAGAATTGTGTCCATGTCCCAATATTTATGGACCTGACTGTATGTATCTAGACTGGATTTATGGAGGTTCTGGGGTTCAGCTGGCAGCAAAATGTTCATTTTCACCATAGACTTTACTAGACCTAGACACCTGGGGTGTGTGTGTCTTCGGTCTTCTCTCCCATGTCCAGGTCAGTAAGATCTCAGGCAGAACATTTCTCCCAGGGTTCCTTGCTCTGTGGTCTGCTGGCTGTGCCAGGTGGAGGGATATGTCTGTAGTGTCTCAGACCGAAGTCACTGAGTGCAGTCTCAGGAGATGGGAGGCAGCGGTGTGGGATCTCTGCAACTTGTCTACAGTAAACATTTAATGTTCCACTGATTACTGAATACCAATATTATGAGTCTGACCCTTACACTGTATAATTTATATTGTCAAAATTTCATACTCCTGACCCCTGCACTATATACTACTCTGTTGTACATTACATACTCCTGACCCCTGCACTATATACTCTGTTGTACATTACATACTCCTGACCCCTGCACTATATACTACTCTATGTTGTACATTACATACTTCTGACCCCTGCACTATATCCTCTGTTGTACATTACATACTCCTGACCCCTGCACTATATACTCTATGTTGTATATTACATACTCCTGACCCCTGCACTATATACTCTGTTGTACATTACATACTCCTGACCCCTGCACTATATACTCTATGTTGTACATTACATACTCCTGACCCCTGCACTATATACTCTATATTGTACATTACATACTCCTGACCCCTGCGCTATATACTCTATGTTGTACATTACATACTCCTGACCCCCGCACACTATATACTCTGTTGAACATTACATACTCCTGACCCCTGCACTATATACTCTGTTGTTGTACATTACATACTCCTGACCCCTGCACTATATACTCTATGTTGTACATTACATACTCCTGACCCCTGCACTTTACACTCTATGTTTGTACATTACATCCTCCTGACCCCTGCACTATATACTCTATGTTGTACATTACATACTCCTGACCCCTGCACTATATACTCTATGTTGTACATTACATACTCCTGACCCCTGCACTATATACTCTATGTTGTACATTACATTACATACTCCTGACCCCTGCACTATATACTCTATGTTGTACATTACATACTCCTGACCCCTGCACTATATACTCTATGTTGTACATTACATACTCCTGACCCCTGCACTATATACTCTGTTGTACATTACATACTCCTGACCCCTGCACTATATACTCTATGTTGTACATTACATACTCCTGACCCCTGCACTATATACTCTGTTGTACATTACATATACTCCTGACCCCTGCACTATATACTCTATGTTGTACATTACATACTCCTGACCCCTGCACTATATACTCTATGTTGTACATTACATACTCCTGACCCCTGCACTATATATACTCTATGTTGTACATTCCATAGTCCTGACTTCTCTGCTCTACCCCCCCTCCCCCCACTTCTATATATACACATAATATGGATTCTCTTTTGTTCCCCCCATTTCCTCCCAGCTGGACATTTTATATCGGATGATGTGATTGGAGCACAGACTTTTACATGATGATAATAATGTGATAACATCCTCCAACTTTGGACCCTTAAACAGAAAGTGATAATGAGGGAGGAGTCAATACCCCAATGATGGTGGTCTTCAGGATCAGTCCAGTCTTCATCTTGGTTGTTCTCCCCCCATCCTCACTCTCTGACCTCTGGTGGGGCTCAGCCCCGCTTTTCTTCATGACTAAATCATGGACTAAATAAGGAAGTGCAGTACTTCTTGTGTTGGGAAGATGGCGATGAGTGATAGAGGGGGTGGGGACCCTCGTCCTATAATCCCCTCATCACTGTCCCTCCTATAAAAGACAGTTCTGGTTGTTTCCTCACTCTCTGACTAAGGTCCATGAATAAAGAAATGACCTGGTAGGAGATCAGAGGAGCCATTTCCTAGTTCCCTTGAGGGTGGAATTGTAAGCTCCTCAGAGACCAAGTTGCCTGATGTGGGCGGAGTCCTGGTTTGGGGGAACCAATCAGCTCCTGTCTAGTAATCCTCTTTGTCTTTGTATTTTAGTCCATGGCCGGGAGATGAGGAAAACCTCCGAGGATTGTCTCACTTTGTCTCCAGACTGGAAAGTAGAAGATGAGGACATCACACAGTATAGTCCAGGAGAAAACCCGGCTCCCTCCAATGTCCATCCGGCACCACCCAGTGTAGATGGACCATCGGATTCCTCGTATCCTGAGGAACCTCAGACTGTGCAGGACCGGGCCGGCCTTCCAACAGGGAAGAGGTTCTCCTGTACTGAGTGTGGGAAGGGTTTCCGTTATAAATCCAGTCTTTATGTGCATAAAAGGTCTCACACAGGAGAGAAGCCGCATTCCTGTCCTGAGTGCGGGAAAGGTTTTTCAGACAAGTCCAGTCTTCACACACATCAGAGATTTCACACGGGGGAGAAGCCGTATTCCTGTCCTGAGTGCGGGAAGGGTTTCCATACTAAATACAATCTTAATGTGCATAAAAGAACTCACACTGGTGAGAAGCCGTATTTCTGTCCTGAGTGTGGGAAATGTTTTTCAGATCATTCTATTCTTCTCAGACATCAGAAATCTCACACAGGGGAGATGCCGTATTCCTGTCCTGAGTGTGGGAAATGTTTTTCAGACAAGTCCAGTCTTCACACACATCAGAGATCTCACACAGGGGAGAAGCCGTATTCCTGTCCTGAGTGTGGAAAATGTTTTTCAGTGAAGTCCAGTCTTCACACACATCAGAGATCTCACACAGGGGAGAAGCCGTATTCTTGTCCTGAGTGTGGGAAATGGTTTCCTTCTAAATTCCGTGTTAATCGTCATAAAAAGACTCACACAAGGGAGAAGCCATTTTCCTGTCCTGAGTGCGGGAAATGTTTTTCAGAGAAGTCCAGTCTGCACACACATCAGAAATATCACACAGGGGAAAAGCCATATTCCTGTCCTGAGTGTGGGAAATGTTTTTCAGAGAAGCGTATTCTTTACAGGCACCAGAAATCTCACACAGGGGAGAAGCCGTATGCCTGTTCTGAGTGCGGAAAATGTTTTTCAAAAAAGTCCTATCTTCACACACATCAGAGATATCACACAGGGGAGAAGCCATATTCCTGTCCTGAGTGTGGGAAATGTTTTTCAGAGAAGTGTGTTCTTTTCACAGGCATCAGAAATCTCACACAGGGGGAGAAGCCGTTTGCCTGTTTTGAGTGTGGGAAATGTTTTTTAGAGAAGTCCAGTCTGCAAACACATCAGAGATCTCACACAGGGGAAAAGCCATATTCCTGTACTGAGTGCGGGAAATGTTTTTCAGTGAAGTGCAATTTTTACAACCATCAGAAATCTCACACAGGGGAGAAGCTGTATTCCTGCTGAGTGAGTGTGGGAAATGTTTTTCACGGAAGTCCAGTCTTTACACACATCAGAGATGTCATACGGGGGAGAAGCCATATTCCTGCCCTGAGTGCGGGAAATGTTTTTCACGGAAGTCCCATCTTTCCAAACATCAGAAATCTCACACGAGGAAGAAGCCACTTTTCTGTCCTGAGTGAGGGAAATGTTCCTCACTGAAGTCCTGTCTTCCTGTACATCAGGGGTCCCACACAACCCTGGAGGTGTATTAGTGCCTTGAGTGCGGGAAATGTCTTCTAGATGAATGTTGCTGGACATCCCAGCTCTCATGTGGGGAAGAAGCACACCCTGATATACACCTCAGATATACTCCATGGCTGATCTTCATCATGGAAGAAACAGTTCATAAGGAGAATATAATCTTAAAACAACAAAGTGCAGCGCTTAGCAAGGTAAAAGAGTCAATAAGATAATAATCAAGTATCCACAATGATTCACTGTAGAAATACGAATTTCACGGCCTCCACTCTGTCAAATAACAGAAATGCGCACTCACCGGAAACGCATGGGTTATGCACATGTGTGATCATGCATCACAGGCAATAGATACATCAGAGGTTAGGCAGCCAGACATCTCCCTCACGGTGGGTCATCACAGACTCTTTAGTCAGGTCCAGGGGTCCCCTTAAGGTCAGCCAGGTGCTCCATGCAAAAAACTTCCTCTCAGGGTGGCAAAGTGCTTTCTCTGTGGGAATGATAGCTCCAAGCAGGAGCCCCAGAAGACAAATGCCAGAGATAGTGTAGTATGTCCAAAAGGTAAATATTTATTTATAAAAGCAGCAGGGCAGTATGCATATTATACATCATGTGAGAACATATATATGCAGCAGCAGTACTGACCCCAGTAATGATGGCCGCCGGGCCCCTCGTGGCTCCGGCGGTGGAATGACGTCACGCTGTGCAGAGCGTGACGTCATTCCACCGCCGGAGCCACGAGGAGGCCCGGCGGCCATGGTGATGGTTAAGGTGTTCCCCGTACACAGATTCCCCTTCATATCCGCCTTTATTTCCTCCTTTCCCCCATTTTCTATGTTGGGATCTTTTCTACAATACTTTGTTATAATAATGGAACACGTTGTGTATTGTATTGTACACCAATAATAATGACTCCGCCCCCACATTCCAGACAAGGGATCTTCCTGACCAATCGGATTCCTTCCTTTACTGTTTCCTGATTTTTATGCTTCAATCTTGTTAAATGTAAAATTATAATAAAACATTTATTGAACAAAAACTATTGTGTGTGTCGGTGCAATGACGGCAAACTTCAATATAGAACATTGCTCCTCGGTGACACCTCACACCCTTCAATAACGGCGCAGAGTGCGGGGGTCAGCAGTATATCATATACAGCCCACCATACAGAGTGCAGAGGGGGGCTGTAGTGTGCCCCCCCTCCTGATCCATACCAGGCCACATGTCCACAACATGGGGGTCACCTTACAGGGGGGATGTGTTGCAGTCCCATAAGACTGACCCTTGCCCCAACACAGACATCCACATGAACTGTTAAATCAACCAGAGAATGTCTGGGTTTATATGGCAAGAAGGAGAGTGATGAATGTTCCCAATTTCCATCTGTCAGAGATGCTGCCCGATCATTTAACTACATTTGATGGCCATTCCCCCCCCAACCTCGGTTTTGTTGGACATTTTCAGAGTAATGACTAATGATACTGATGTAAGAATGGATGATGGACCATCTATGTCATTGTCATGAGGACTGTCAGAACTGTCCAGGTCCATATAAAGGCTGGGAAATATGACTGGTATGAAAACGTTGAATGTTCCCCCAGGAGATGTGTTACAATATGACATGTGATTCTGAAGAGATTCCCCGGTGTTGGTATCTCCCCTGTGTTGGTGGTAGAACATTGCTCCTCGGTGACACCTCACACCCTTCAATAACGGCGCAGAGTGCGGGGGTCAGCAGTATATCATATACAGCCCACCATACAGAGTGCAGAGGGGGCTGTAGTGTGCCCCCCCCCTCCTGATCCATACCAGGCCACATGTCCACAACATGGGGGTCACCTTACCAGGGGGGATTCCCCCAGGCATAGCACCTTGTCACCTTGGCTGGTGGCTGTGGGGATCTGTGGGCGGGGGTCATATTGGATTCTGGAAGCCCCCGTTAATAACAAGGGGCCCCCATATACCATCCCCCCATGTGAATGAGTATGGGGTATATAGTACCCGACAATAGCACCAGCCCAATGACAGCTCCCTAAACTGTCATCATCTACATAAGTGAAGGGACAGGGATGGTGGGACCTTATTGGTGACCCAAATGTGACCAGTGACCATATTTGGTCAGTGATGTCACTGCTATCCCCCCCCCTTCCTTACATGGGCAGGGACCCCCAATGACATCACTGATTCCTGGGGGGTGTGGCCGCTGTACCCATCCATGTCTTCCTCAGGCACCAGTGACAGCGGGAAGCTGTTATATACAGAAGTGGTAGAAATGTCTCTTCTATATGTGATGATCGGCTCCTGCAAAACACGGGACCGGAACAGGCAAAGTTTGGTTTGTACTGTCGTCTCATCCCTACTCTCCGACAACTAAACCCAGAGATCATCCCAAGTGGTCATTGTATTTGTCCCTTACATTGGTGACCAATGGGAGAAGGACCCCTTATATCATTGGTCAGTGTAGTGGTCCCTTACATTGGTGACCAATGGGAGAAGGACCCCTTATATCAGTGGTCAGTGTAGTGGTCCCTTACATTGGTGACCAATGGGAGAAGGACCCCCTATATATCAGTGGTCATTGTATTTTGCCCCCTTACATTGGTGACCAATGGGAGAAGGACCCCCTTATATCAGTGGTCAGTGTAGTGGTCCCTTACATTGGTGACCAATGGGAGAAGGAACCCCTTATATCAGTGGTCAGTGTAGTGGTCCCTTACATTAGTGACCAATGGGAGAAGGACCCCTTATATCAGTGGTCATTGTATTTGTCCCTTACATTGGTGACCAGTGGGAGAATGGACCCCCTTATATCAGTGGTCAGTGTAGTGACCACTGGTGGTTACATTGGTGACCAATGGGAGAAGGATCTCTCTTATATCAGTGGTCAGTGTATCAGCCCCTTACATTGGTGACCAATGGGAGAAGGATCCCCCTTATATCAGTGGTCAGTGTAGTGGTCCCTTACATTGAGTGACCAATGGGAGAAGGACCCCCTTATATCAGTGGTCAGTGTAGTGGTCCCTTACATTGGTGACCAATGGGAGAAGGACCCCTTATCAGTGGTCAGTGTAGTGGTCCCTTACATTGGTGACCAATGGGAGAAGGACCCCTTATATCAGTGGTCAGTGTAGTGGTCCCTTACATTGGTGACCAATGGGAGAAGGACCCCTTATATCAGTGGTCAGCAGCGGCAGACTGGACAACTCATGGGCCCCCCAGGCAATAGGGATCATGGGACCCCCTTGTCCTTGCCCAAGTGTCAAAGTGGTCCCTATGAAAATTGGTGACCAATGGGAGAAGGGGCCCCCTACTGACCCAGTGGTCATGTAGTGGTGCCCCTTACCATGGGTGACCAATGGGAGAAGGACCCCCTTTTATCAGTGGTCAGTGTAGTGGTCCATTTACATTGGTGACCAATGGGAGAAGGAGAACCCTCTTATATCAGTGGTCAGTGTAGTGGTCCCTTACATTGGTGACCAATGGGAGAAGGACCCCCTTTTATCAGTGGTCAGTGTAGTGGTCCCTTACATTGGTGACCAATGGAGAAGGATTCCCTTTTATCAGTGGTCAGTGTAGTGGTCCCTTACATTGGTGACCAATGTGGAGAAGATTCCCTTTTATCAGTGGTCAGTGTAGTGGTCCCCTTACATTGGTGACCAATGGGAGAAGGACCCCCTTATCATCAGTGGTCAGTGTAGTGGTCCCTTACAAAAGACTAGAAGGTCTAAAAAAAAATAAATGTGAATGAATCACCAGGACCAGATGGCTTGCATCTGAGAGTCCTCAAGGAATGTAGCCAGGTCATTGATAGACAGTCATTCCACATATTTAGGAAAGCTTACTGACCGGAATGGTGGCAGCAGATTGGTGAAAATCTAACGTGGTTCCAGTATTCCAGAAAGGGCCGAGATACATATCTGGAAGCTCCAAGCCAGTCAGCCTAACATCAATAGTTTGTAAACTATTGGAGGGATGATAAGGGACCATACCCAAGAATTTGCTGATGAACATAGTATCATTAGTAGTACCCAGCATGGATTTATGGGAAAAGATCGTTCTTGTCAGACCAACCTATTAACAATATGAGGAGGTGAGCTGTGATCTGGATAAAGGAACCCCCGTGGATGTAGAAGCAACGAGGATTGTGTCACTTCCAGAGTCACTCAGATGTAAACAAGCCATTTCCAGCTTGTGAAAGCATCAGAATGAACTGATCTTGGTTTGATCGGATGTTTTTATGGTCAGATTGGGATCTGGGGGTCCAATAGACGCAGATGTCTCAGTAAAGAGAACCTGTCTGATAGCAATAAAAGTAATAAATAAATTGGGACAGTGTAAAAAAATAGAAAAAAAATTAAAAGAAAAAAATGAAAGCACCCCCCCCCCCCCCATTGTTTGCACAAAAAAGGCTAACACATACAGAATTCCACCATGCATTGTAAACGGTGTTCTCACCACACGTGTCTCCACACAGGTATGGCTGGAAATGTCAGAGTGAGAGCGATAATTCCGGCATCAGACCTCCTGTGTAACTCTACACTGGTAACCTGAGTGACACCTATGGGGGGTATTTAGGCCCCGTAGTTTGGTGCCGTTCCACTGGCGTTTGCAATTTTAAAGCGTGACATGTTAGGTATCTATTTACTCGGCATAACATCATCTTTTACCCCCAAAATGGTATTATATTGTGTTTGCTGCACTAACATGAGGTCAAGTTTCCTTTCTAAAAAATGTACATTAAAGAAAATTTGCAGAAATACGGAGCGACA